CATTTACCCGACCACCCACCATACATTGTTTAACTTTTGTGAACTGTTGAATATCAAATTTATTAAATTATTGATTTATTTCTTCCGTCGGCGCGGTTTAAAATTGATTTACGCTTCTCTATTTTCGTCGGTAACTTTATTTTGGTTTAACGATTTAACTGGTGGCAATGGTTGCGGATGACACGTTAATTGCTACATCGAGATTTATGCTGAGATTGAGTTCGGAGAAGACTGTTATATCGATTACTCATCGAGGCAATTCGATACTAAATGCACTTCAATCTCGTACATGTATCGACACTTAATCAACAAAAAAAATATATATATAATTTCACATTTTCAATTCATCAATGTTTATGTCTTCACCTGTTTATATTTACGTCTGTTTTACATTGTAAAGACTATTTACAGATAGAAGTATTTATCAATATGAAATCGATACGTTTCCTGCATATTTCTAAGTGTTAATTCGATATTGTGTTTAGATAAAGCACTTACATTATTTACTAAATTTCATTAGAATTTGAAAACTGATTTAGGTTTATTGTTTTTAAACTTATTTAATAATAAACATACAATTGTACATATTGAAGTAGATATGAAGATATATTTATTGGGCAGAAAGACCTATCAGGACCAATAAAAATGTGTAAATAAAAAATTAATTTTATTACATAAAAATCTAATACAATGATTGTAATGTTTTAGTTAATGCTGATTGTAAAACATTAATCTATTGTTATTACGTTACAAAAGGAAATATACTAGAAACATATAACTTTTTTGCTAAGAGGATTAGAATTCCACCCACGACTGTGTGTGTGTGTTTTTTTTGTAATAAAAGTGCCATTACTAAATGAATGAGCGTGACGATAATAGAGGTTTCTCTGATAAGCCGGAGGTAATTTCCCAAATTAGTCCGTTCGTTCGCAGTGGAAACGACGTCTTCGTCAAAACTGGAGCAAATTTTGAGTGAAATATCGATTTCTCCCCAACGTCTGCAGATTAGCATTTTTTTTCTTCTAAGCACCGATCACGCAACTATTAAACTGGTAAAAGAACGAGAAACAAAAAAAAACAAGTGGAATATTTAGTAGGTGCTTTGATTCATATCTTCGTCCACTTTATTTAATGTTCTTTCAGGTATTTTTTTACCTTGATAATTCTGATTTTCTTGTAATTAATTGCGTGATAGCATTATTCAATGTCTCGTGCATTTGAATCTACATATTTGATATCAAATTATTAATTGCTTAGATATACAGTAATAACTCGCATAGTGCGGCTTCGATTAGTCCGCATCCACTATAATCTGGTTTGAAAATTTAAAAACAATCTAATTGGTCATTTTATTTAACATCTTGAACTTTAGTTATTACTTACTGAAATAGCGTTTTCTTAATTAATATGAATACCTTTTGAAAAATTAATTAAAATTTAACGGTTTTCGTTGATGGTTAATTTTTATGAAATGTGTCATCTAGTTTTCAGCGCGTATTCAATTTTGGTCGTGCCACTTAAGCGATGATGCAATCCCATTGTTAACGAAGCTCACAGTCAAGCTGAGAAGAGCCTTTGCGCTTTTCGTCTTTACTAATATCGTTCAGATGTGTTGGAACTTCTTTAACCGATGAGTGTAAACGTATCATCATATCATAGTTATAGGGTCATAAATAATTCACTGCCAAGGTCAACATCACCACCTCGAAAAAAAAAAACAATTCGCATCCTTCTTTGTGCGTCTCGACTTGAAAATGTATTATTCATCGACTTATTATTATTATTGACTCCTGGAATCGTCGTTTTCTACAAAACGCAATTCCATTGCGTGATACTTCCTGCTTCGAAATATAATTTGTTTATCAAGTCGCCGAGCACAGTGCTGGAAATAGTGGGCGCTATTCTGGGAACAGCAACAATGCCTTATTGATGGAAACCCATTCGGCGTCTCGTCGTGCAGAATGTATCATCTTCCTTTTGTTTCGTACATCAAACTCATGTTTATTTGCAAAAGTTCATTAAACTTACCTTGCGTTCGCGCAACTCTTTTAATCACTTACGTACTTCCAGTAAATGTATTTGTTAATATAGGTCATGGTTATCGATACATAATCTATTGTACTGTTGATCCTAGTTATATCGAACTGTGATTCTATACAATTGCTGATCACGTTGCTAATGTCATTTCCTTTTTGTTTTTTTTAAATTGGTATTTCCATACGCTCCTCTTCCGGTAATTTTCATACTTCTTGGGCGTTGATGAACGGCTCCGGCTTAGATTCTTCGTTTATTTGTGAACATGTCTTCATTCAAAATGATATGGTGCTTCCTGTTACTTTCATCCGAATTCATCATATCTCCATTAGTCACAATTCTAATTCGATACCCTATTTTCGAGTTTACTTATCCAAGTCTCTTATTATATATTCAATTTCCTTTCCTTTACAAATTAATCTATTGTATTATTTTCTCTGTGCTGGTATTGCGGGTATTTACTAATATTTTATGGAAGAAAAAAGTAATAAGTAAAATATGAATAATAGAAAGAGCAGAAACTTGTTTTGATTAAATGGAAGCACAACGATCCACTCGGACATCAAAGCAGTCCGTGCCCGTAATGAAAATAAAGAAAAACCTCTTGAGTATAAATGCAGCACGTAGATTGGATTTCTTTTTTACCAGTTGTAAATATAAAAAAAAATAATTCCAGTCCGTTGTGTAATTGATATTTCATAAAGAAATTTGAGCAAGGTTATTAGTAATGTGAATAGCAAAATTTTTATTTTTACTCAATCACTCAATGCATGTATCCTTCATTAATATATTCATTTCATTATTATGTAATTTATTTAAAAATAATGATTTTTGAAAGAAAGTCTTTGATTGACTTTATTTCAATGAATAGTATCAATTCTTATAGTAATTTTTTGTTGTAGGTTTGATAATTATTCAGCCCCGATGGTGGTGGATGGGATCTCGGTGAGCTTAGGTCTGTGGGATACGGCGGGACAGGAGGACTACGATCGCCTGAGACCGTTGTCCTACCCGCAAACGGACGTGTTTCTCATCTGCTTCAGCGTCGCATCACCATCCTCCTTCGAGAACGTGACCTCCAAATGGTACCCAGAGATCAAGCACCACTGTCCGGACGCGCCCATGATCCTCGTAGGGACGAAAATCGATTTGCGCGACGACAGGGAAACCTTGAGCGCTCTGGCGGAGCAGGGTCTCAGCCCCATCAAGAGGGAGCAGGGCCAGAAGCTCTCCAACAAGATCAGAGCCGTGAAGTACATGGAGTGCTCGGCGCTGACGCAGCGGGGTCTGAAGCAGGTCTTCGACGAAGCCGTCAGGGCCGTCCTCAGGCCCGAACCGCAAAAGCGCCGTCAACGTAAATGTCTCCTCATGTAAAATCAAAGCAGAAATAGAAGAAGAAAGGGAAAACCAATCGAAAAGAAGCAAACTTTGTAAGCAACCTCGATTGCATTTCAACTTCGAAAAACTTTATACAATCATCATCATCCTCTCTATTCTTATCTTTTGCAGGTGCGGACTGAATCTTGAGCGGACATCGTATATAGATAAGTGCTGTCATTCACAACAAATGGCATAAGTCAATATATAGTTATTTTTTAAAAGAAACGTCCTATATATATTTATGGATCCGATATTTCGAATTAATTTTATACATACATATTATATATATATTTATAAGGTAATTGTTGCATTTGCTTCTACACAAATTCCAAAAAAAAAACAAAAATCACGAATCTTTCCTTATACTCGAACAAACACGAAAATTAAAAAAAAAACGAAACGGGATGAAGACGGGCGCAGCAGCAAAGAGATGAAACAAAACAAAAAGAGTTCTAATTTGAAAACGTAGAGAGGCTATTTATATTTTTTTAACGTAACTAAACGAAATATTTTTATACGTCAATTATAATCTTGTGGAAAACAAAAAAAAAGTTGGAGCGTTTAATATGTTTTGTTGTTATTAATCCTTTGTTGTTCTTAACGAAAAGTGCTCATTCTTTTTTGATTTCGTTCAGTTTGATACGTAATTATGTGCCATTCATTTTTTTGGAATTGTTGTATATATATTTCTATATATATATACGAAGGTGTCTATGAACTGGCGATTTGCGCTTTGAATTTCTTTTAAACTCTATTTTTGCGTTCTTTCCAAAGATGTGAAACTGGGCGATGGATGCAATTGTTTTCCAGTTCCTCACCATCGTCCCACTTTATATTTTCTTACGCAAATCAATGATGCATTGTGATTAGAAGAATTGACTAGTGTTCTATTATAAAGTATATATATAAACCTGGTGTATCAACGATATTATTGTAACATAACTAAAAACGTTGTTGGACGATTACAAATTGATACAAAAAAAACCTACACAAAAGTCGCACGAGAATCAATCAAAAAATTAGAGAAACGAAGAAAGAGCGCAACTTTTTTTGTATCAATTGTCATTCTCTAATTATATATATATATATAATTAAGTAGCTTGGCTTTTGGATTGAATGAAATGCGAATCGATGGAGAAAGAAAGGAGACTCGTCATTTTATTTTTTACATGTACATTACTTTGAAACATATACGGATATTTGCATTTAGCAGCTGTATTATTTTAAGTGTCGATGTTTCAGTTCGTTTTTTTTTATATATTATTTTATATAATATTAGTATAAATATTTGTTTTTTTCTATCAATCCCTCATTTTATTATATAATATTGTAAACATGTTAGTGAAAAATACGATGTAATAAGTGTAGGGTGAATGAAGAATCCGAAAATTAACCATCTTCACTGTTGCTTTTACGCGATTGGATAAGAAAAAGAAGCGAGTGAACATCATCATACTATTATTTTTTTCTCCCTTTTTTTTAATTTTAACTATTATTATTAATTAATATAAATATTACTTTCGAATAAGATTGAATATTGACCAAAGTTAGTTAAATTAAATTCTAGTCACCGGAAAAAAAAATGAACAAAGGAAAAAAAATCCCTTTTACAATGTACAGCACACGATTTTTTACACTCTCTCTCTCTCGTAATTTTAATCTCTATTTCTCTCCGAATGAAAAAAAATAAAATAAATTCAAACTCGAATCATCATTAATTACTTATTATTATACCTATATGGATATTAATTATTAACATCTTTCAGGATACTTTACATTTTTATGTGAATTATATAAATATAATGTAATAACAAAAATGAATAAATTTAAATAATAAAAAAAAAACAAACATATGTATGCACGTTTTTATTTTTTACATCCTCTCGTACTAATTTATGTAATCTTTCGGGTAATTAGAAACAATGTATATATTCAAAGCTGAGTAATTACTCGGCATCTAGATAAGAGCATATTAATTAAGTCGACAATGTGTGCATTAATTGAATACTTAATTACGTAATTCGTTCCTCTAATATGTATTTATATCTAACATGTTATGGGCTTTAGAGCATTATTAGTTAAAATTACCGTTAATTCTAATTATTATGGTAAATATTTAATTAGAAGCACTTAGGAATGGTAATCTTTACAAAAGTAAGCTAAAATTCTATCTTTGTGGACTACATAAAGACTAGTATGAAAAATTATGGAAAAATGTATACATACCTTTAACTCAATTTATTTATTTTTTATTTATATACAATTTTTTCAATATTTTTTTATACATTTTTATTATTATTTACTTATGTGTATGCCCCTCAGGTTCGGTTCTTTCAGAACGCTCCTTGGAACCGGTATTTTGAGAAGTTGAATACTCAAATTTGAAGACAATTATTGAAGTAACTTCCATAAAAACTTCATAACTTTTATATTATATTTACTAATTGAAGTTTCATTTTTTTTTTAATCAATAATAACGTATATTAGTGATCAATGTTAATTATTTACTAAATATCAAGACCAAATTGTCGAAATTTAAGCGAAAACTTAAGCCACTTCTTAAATCAATTAACGAACTGATTATGTTGGTTACTTGAGAGATTGAGTAATTTTATTTTGTATGGATTTAAAAATAATTATGAATTCGAATTAATTTTAGAACAATAAAAATATTTAACTTTATTATCTTCATTCATCTTACTCTAGTAAATCAAAAGTATTTATTAATTTATGATTAATTGGTCACCACAGAATAATGTACAAATAGGTGCGTAATTAAAGGACCTAATGTTCATATTTGAGTTTTTATACTTTGGACCACGCACAGGGTGTACATCAATTTTTCTTGCAACCTGTTCCACGAGGCCTGATGACAGCTCTGCAAGTTCGGTAAGTAGTTCTTCAGTTTTTCCTCTTCAGCGATGACGTTTCCATGAGACTTCAAAAACACACCCAAATAAGACTCGGCCAGCTCGAAATCCTTATTAGATTTCAGCATAAACTCGATGAGCTTCAAGAACTGAAGCATTACATCAACGGTTCCCCCGCCCTCGGGACTAAGCGATTTGATCTCGTAGTCGATCATCGAAGGACCGAAAGTCTTCAATTTCAATACCACAGCGCTGAAATCGTTGGATTCTATGGTTTTGTGCAGAAGCTTTGCGAATTCCGTTAGATTCAACAACGAAACTGCCGGTAAAATTTTGGACCCGCTATTGCTTTCCTGCGTTAAATCGAATTTAAAGTCGAGAGCTTGAACTGTGGGTAGGAAGAAAGGGGCAGCTTTCGGTTTGGCTATTAATGCTTTGCCCTTGTTCTTGCTACGGATTATGTTGATATTCAGGAGGTTTTGCCATCTGGATGAGGCCAAACCAGACATTGTTATAAGATCGCTGCTGATTTGCTCGGAGGATTTGTAGACTTCGGCGATTTCTTCTTCGGTCATGTTCTCCTCAGAATTGATTCCTCTGCATTCGGGTAAACGGACCAATTCTGGTTCGTCTTCCAGATCGAGGGCTTTCAGAGATACGTGCTGGTAGATGGTTTTGTTGCACCATAAGAATACACCCATGTGGTCTAAATGAGCGGTGACCAAAGCATCACCGGTTGGGGACATGTTCAGGGATATGCAAGGAACGTCCGTTCTGAATTGATCGATGAGCTGCGCTGTTGGAATATTCCACGTTTTGATTGAGCAATCCATGGAAGCAGTTATGAGCCACCTGGAATCGGGACTGAAGGCGGCGTCCGTTATAGGCGATTTGTGCCCCATAAACTTCCTGACCACATTATAATTATCAATATCCACAATGTTGATGGTGAAGTCTTCTAAAACTACTGCTACAATGGAACTCTCCTTGTGCGTCCTGAAGAACGCAATGGGGTCTTCCAAATGAATCTTCGAAATTTGATTCTTTCCGTCTTTGAAGCTGAAGAATTTGATGTAACCGTCATTGCCTCCAGTCATGACAACTTGATTCAGAATATCACAGCAAACACCACGAACGAACGATTTGTGAGCTTTCGGTTTACCATAGCTTGCTCTAAATAACCCAGATTGAACGTTGAACCTTAAATAAATGAATACAGATTAAAATCAACTCTATTTAACTATTAAATCATTGATTAATACCTCTGGACGTAACCCGAATTGTATCCAATTAACACGAAATTTCCGCAATGACTTAGAGATATAGCTGTGGCATGTCCACGATCTTCATCGTGCAGCTTGTATGGTTTTATTCTAAGATCTCCCATTTTGCATTTGTTGAAAGACCAAGTCGTTACAGATTCAAGACCTACAATATAAATAAAATTATTATATAAATATGTTAAATATAGTTTAAAGATTTTTACCGTCATGTATAGCAGCAATATTATCCCATTCCTTTTCTCTTGTAACCTCTGAAGCAAATTCCACAATTGGTGGCATAACATATGGATCCTCCCCTTTATTCTTCAAATTTTTACTGGCTTTTCTATTAAATGAAGCCCTTCCAAGACTCTTATTCAATATTTCAGTTTGTGTATTGAAAATCCTCATGGTCGAATCACCAGAAACACTCAAAATATTCTGCCCATTATCTCCATGGTACCTAATGCAAGTGGGAGGCACTGAATGTCCATCCCTTGTCCGCAAGAGCCTAGCTCCTCCATCAGTCATATCAAAGATCCACATTTTCAAGCTGTTGTCAGCAGAGTTGGACACCACAATTGGTTGATTATTCAAGCAAATCAAATTGTTGACTGGACCAATGTGTGCACACAGCTTCTGTGAAAACACTTTGCGATCATCCAAATTCCAAAATACAATATGTCCTGCAACACTTCCCGTAGCCATGATTGGCTCTCCGTCAGTTCTAAAAGAGATGGAGGTGACCAAGCCCCAATCCTGTGTAAACTCCATGATGGTAATGTCTAGTTTAAGATTGTGCAAGATAATTTTGCCATTGGCCAAACCAATAGCTGCCACATCTACAGCAGGAGCTTGTTCCAAGCAAGTGACTGCTGAATCCCAACCAGCGAATGTATAAATTAAAGTGGACGTATTAATATTCCACAACTGCAGAGCCCCCTGATTGCTTCCAAGTAAAATTTTGTTCTTGTAAGTGCTAGGATGGAAGGCAGCTGTGATTTTGAATTGATCATTGCCAAAATCTAGCTCTAAGAATATCTCGGCTGTCTGCACATTCCACACAATTAGCTTACTGTCCTCATCAATGGAGATCAGGCTGTCACCGAATGGAATCATCAAATGGACTGCCCTCTCATGCTTCTTCAGTATGTGCTTCAGTGTGGCTCCCCCAATCCAACAATAGATGTTGTTTCCTGCTGCCGAGTATGTGAGGAATTTGCTGAAGGCCAGACATGTTATATCCTCGGGATGGAGCTGGCTCACTTGGATCAAACGCAGTTTGTTGTTGTACACGTGAAAGAGTTTACCCACGGATGTGATGAAGATTTCTCCATTTGAAACGTACTTAACTACTACAGGGATATGGTTACTCACATTTCCCAGACTCCTGCTGGGAACGAATATCTTGCTACCTTTGTACATCGTTTATTATTTTCGACTACACTCCAAAAACATTTGAAAACACGTGCGGCGATATATACAAATAAACGAACATAACCTCTTGTAACAGTGTGACACTGACAGTAAACTAAATTCAATGTTGGTCATCCTGAAAGAACCTGTAGTTTAAGTTGCATATCCTGAAAAAATATAAATTTAAATTAAAATTACAATTTTTACATTTACAACTTATATCGTCCTAAAAGCACTAATTTACCGACTTATTTTAAAATATTAATAAAGGATTATCATCTACTCTCAAGTGAAAACTAAATCAATACCAACCAAATATTTATTTGATTAAAAAAGGTCGGAATGGAAATTTCTTCTCTCTAAAATATCCTGTAATAACGAAGAGTAGGTTTTACATTTAAGGAATTTCGTGTAAGTATATAATTTATAGGTGATTAACGTTAATTAATTTAACGTTTCAATATCAAAATATGTATTTCCATAAATTTGTATTAACTTATTTGATCTATGCTTACTGCATTTACTAAATCCAAATAGTTTTCAGAAACAGTAATTTAGTAGTTTCATCTTAAACAATCTAACTTACAGACTAAAAATTATATTTTAAATAATAATATTCAATAAATTTGATGAAAGGTTTTATGTTGATGAGAATGTAACATTTAAAAAGTCCGCTGTATGAAACTTATAAATTCCTATAATGTAATTTATGATCTCGAATACCAGAAGACATACATGATTAATGAGAGCGCATTCATATCTTTGGCAGCGCGAAGCTCAGATGATTATAGTATCCTTCATTATGCATGAATGAACCCATGAGCTCACTTATATATTTCTTAACTATTACTTACGACCAAATAATGAATTTTATAGCATGCCTTTAATTAATTAACAGTTTTTGTTCATGTTCATTTAATTAGTGATTGAATGCGTAAAACGAAACTAAAAATGTAGTCATTTCACAACAAGTTTATGATTTGATGTTGTACAAATCTGTTGAAATTCGAAATGGCTGAATGGAAATATGAGTTTATTTACTGTTCCATACTAATTACCATTACGGAATAATGAATAGCATTGGAAGGTTTTTATTTCAATTTCCTCATACATTTATTTGTAAATAATAATTACAGCTTTTCGTTACGCTACTAATGAATTTTCAATTTATTATTTGGTTGTATTTAAATAATCTGATTCGAGTTTGGTACAACTTTATCTAACGCTTAAATACTAATATATAATTTACGATTTGCTGAGATCGAGTTTATTGTAATTTATTTTACATGTTTCAACCACATGATTGCTGCTACTGGTTAAAGTTGTATGAAATATTTTGTGCTTACGTAAAAACGCCCACATACAAACATTGTTAGAGTAAGTTTACTGCATTACTATACATTTGTTTAATTTACACATGTTTCTGCCTAATAATTGTTCGATGGAAACATGAAATAGAAGATATAATTTCTTATGAAAGTGTGTAAATGAAGAAATGTTAACGCCTACGTTGAAATATTATTGGAGTAAGTTAATTATTTTATTCTGATTTATTTCATGTATTGATTATGATGTGCAAATGTCTACTAGGGAACTCAAGAAATATTGTTCAAAATTTATTTCAAAGAAATTTCGTGTCAACGAAAAGTGTTCAATGCTTCTTTTTTATAATTTATTAAGTGTATTTTAATGTTTATGTTTGATTTATATTTTTTTGTTGTAGAGTATTGTTAAGTATTCTTTTGGAAATGTGATGTCGGTGGGAACGTTGCGGACTGGAGGATGTATGTTGCAGAAAGTGGTGGAGGTGGAGCGCTTGGTGTGTGGGAGTGCCCGACCTTGTGGAGCGTCTTCCTGGTCGCAGGGTGGTCCTGCGGATGAATGAATGCGTTCGCATCGAGGCAAAACAATGCGATTGATAAGTTTCGATCCGACGGCGGCGTCCAGAGGTGGAGAGATCGTTGGTGGTAGAGGAGGAGGAGGAGGATGAGGAAGAGGAGGCGTGGAACGACGAGCGGAGTCGTCGAGCGTTTGAAGGCGCATGTGTGCAGGGGTCCATGCAGGGCGCCGGCGGTTGCACAGTTGCTGGTTCGGTGTCAGGTTGTCTCTCTGTGTTTTCAGTCACCGTGACTTTTGGGTGTGTGCGCGCGTACGGCGCCAGGCAGCAGGACACCAGACACGACCCGGCCCGGCCCGTGTCCTCCGATCATCGGACTATAATTCCTTAGTTTGTGGTACACCACCAGTGCGCGCTTGAATGAAAGATGTAAGAGTGCCGGATTACCGGTAAGATCCAGTGCGAATAGTGACCGGAGGCGCGGCCATATTCCTGCGAACAGAGAACGATTCGTATCGCCGCATCGCATCGCACCTGCATCGCACGGTCTTGTTGATTTTCGCCTAGGAGCAGGCAACCAAACCAGCCCCGTTTCCTGCTGCTGTCGCTGCCAGGAACGACGGAGCGCCGACGACGCCGTCGTCGTCACCTCCCCCCCCATCGCTCGAACGCATACAAACACGCACGCACACGTCCCATTCAGCAGGCGTCGTCTGCACCCCCTTTTCATTTGCATGCATGATTTTATGCGCGCGTGATTTGTTTGTATTTCCGAACACTTCCTTTTCTTTTTTTTCGCATCAAGTCCATCATCACCATCAACATCCCTTATAAATGATACGGCCCGGTGCCGGATAGCTCCGAGATGGCCGATGAGGAAGTGCTCTTCGACGATGTTTACGACCTGTGCGAGGAGATTGGAAGGTGAGTCGCTGATGGCCTGAACCGCCCTTCAAATCCCACCCGAAAAAAACACACGCTCCCACTCACACACACACACAACCTCCTCCCCCGCGACCGGCGAGACCATCCCTGTTTTCAAGAACTAGCGAAAATTCCGGAATTGACTTCAATTGACCCGAACGCAAACATCACAGACGTGCCTTAAATGATGATCATCGCATTCCTCTATCAATTTCGATGCCGCCACTTTATTTATTCAACAGGTTCAATCTTCCGTCATTAATCATTCACAGTACATAAATATTATTACACTTGGACCTAAACTTTAGCTCCTAGAAGCAACTAATTACGAACATCAATTAATTCAACTCCATCCTATACAAAATCCGCAGGTCCCAGTGCAAAACTAAGCAATATAACATACATAATCATATGAAATGATTTAATCATGATTAATCGCAACTTCAATAAACATGTTTACACTCTAATGCAAATTAATATTTTGTTTTATAAATAACTGCAACTATTTACGAATGACTACAACCTGTATTTAATACTCATCAATAATAATTATTTACTGTTAATTACAATTACTGTGACTACTGTATTCGTAGTAAAAGAAAAACAATTATAAAATGATAATAATACAATAAATGGACTTTATCTTAAAAACACTTATATTTTGTATTTCTTTCTTCATTAAATATGAGTCAATAATTATAGTGATTGACTTATTTTATAGCTGCAACCTTTTCCTGAAATCAATTATTTATAAATATTGCAACCAATATAAAATCGGACTTAATACTTTGTATTATAAATGTGTATTATGATTTATATAAAGAATCGTTTTCTAAATGTACATCAAGAAGAAATTATATGTTAGACGTTATAATGACTTTTGGAAGTTAATAATAAATGCAATTTGTAGTAAAAGGTAACAGAATAATAGAGCAAATCTATATTTTGCGTGAGGTATAATATAATAATGATTTGCTCTTTGTTTATTACAATCCGAAATGCAAATTTAATTGATATGTCAATAATCGGTTCGAACTTAAAAAAAAATTGTAATTTATACTTGACGTATAAACTATAAATTATCAATTTGTATATATATAATTGTTTGGTAATAAGTTTTATATAATTGATTGACATTTCATGGGAAACGTAAGCTAATCAATAATTCAAATTATGCTGCAATAATTGGTAATTTGTAGTAATCAAGAGTGCGTATTTGATTGTAGTGTGAAATAGGTTTAAATATCAAACGAATATTCATAATTAGACTTAATTCCAAATCAATACTGAGCGCTCCAAAAAAAAACTATGCGTAAACGCAAATTGCTGTTGCAGATAATAATTGCATTAATAAAGTTAATAATAACCGCTAAGTGATTCTAATTAGGCTTTAACATATTCTATTACCTAATTTGTACTGTGTTTTGTTAAGCTAATAATGCATAGTTTGCAAATTGTAATTAATCCCGAACATAATAATAAACATTATGATATCAAAACGAATCAATAATGTATTTGTTATTTTAACCATTTGTGTCCTCTAATCTCTTCATTTAAAGTCAAAAAAATAAATAAATACATAGATTTAATTCCCTATTCCAAAACGCACACGTACTTTCCAGAATGTTAATTATAACGCACCGCACAGAAAGATCTAAGGTCATTAGCCCTTTGCAAGTGGTCATCGGCCACGCTTCATGACTTCCGTGCTTTTTTTTCTATGTCTTGTTGCTCTGGTAACTGGAGTAACAAACAGCATTGATTAGAATACGGACGCCAAAAAAAAAGAAGAAAAAAATACTGGATTGAATTCATAAAATGAGCACGTCCGAGGCACTAATGAAAACTCGAATCTTGCACAGTTTCAGCATTTTATTTCAGCGCATTAATTTGTATGAGATACGAGAGTTCATGAAATGAATAAAATGAATGTATTTTATATGCGTGTATTCTTTTAATATTCGAACTGAATTGCAGAAAACGTTTGTCGCAGAGTATTGATTAGCTACAAAGAATGAAGGCCATTCACCCTATGCAACTGGTAATCGGCCAATAGTTAAGACTTTTGTACGCAAAAAGTCAATACCATCTCGTACCAAGTTTCAGTGCCAAAAATGAGATAATCCAGATTAAATATCAGCGCAATAGTTATTAGAATTAACGTAAAATTATTATAAGAATTTTCAGATGTTACATAAAATCTAATAAAATCAATTGTACTGTAAAAAGTTCATGTATATAAAAACAGGCTCAAGGTCATGAATTTTATTCGATATCAATGTTTTCCAATGAATCATCAATTCGCTTTATAAAAAAAACGAACGACAAAGTCCATCCAGTTGACAGCTTCAATTCCCAACATTTACACTGTTAAACAACGAAACGTTGTTAAACGAATGATTCACACAGCGTGAATAAGTACCTTAAATTAGAATAAACTCGAGTTGTATTGATCAAGTATTCTGAATGCACACGAACGTGTGCGTTATGTAAACACTGAGCTGCGTAATTATCTGCAGGTACTTTGGAAGCTCAAGATTGCGTGATTCAATTCCCGCGGCTTAATCTTCAGTTGGGGAGCCGCAGGCTCACGCTTTAAAAAGCACCGATTGAAAGTGCTTCAAGCTTGAAAATTTCGTTAGACGAACAAGAAAACACACCCAAATCAGAAATATAAGCGAAGCGCACATTGGAGTAAACATTTTTTGTTTATTTTGGGTGTGGTTGAATCTTAGTTCTTTGAATATTTACAAGAAGCTTCGCAGTTTTATATTATCCCATATAGAAGTTTAGTAGCTCATATATTTTGCTTGATATAAACGTTTGAACATTCACTTATAATAAATAACATGCATTTCATACTCAATACAAAGTTGTAATTATCTGAGATTAAATTTTGCTGTTAAGTTATAGTTAATGTAAATGGTGCTTTTTTTCCTTATGGTTTTGAAATGATTTATATAAACTTGAAGACAGGATTCGTGACTTTATTAGTTATAACTACATCTTCATTTAATGGTCGTGGCTATGAGCCAGGGTATTCCAAGAAACCGGATTAGAGTTGATCCGGACGGGGAAAACTGCGCCGCTACCCCAAAGGTACGAGAATAAAAGCGGCTGAAGAGAACGACGGTTTGTTTTATGTTTGTCGTAGCATTGCGAAACTTCGCTAGCATAAAGAAAACAAAACTTTGGACGAAAGTATCTTACAATTTCTTTATTTTTTTCTGTTGTAATTCAAAAGCTCGGTGTATAGTTTCGATGCCACCACGAATTTCCTTCGAAACTGGATGATATTCGGTTACATGCAACATGGTGCTGTGAAATTTAATAAATAATTGGGTTTTAAATTGGTGTAATTGTTGTGCGAGTTAACTCTTCACCTTTTAAGGACCACTGCAGCGCTTAAAAGCGGAAGTAGTTTGCGAAGTTTTTAGCGAACGCACTTCTAAGGGTTAATCAACGTTTACACCGCGCGGATGAATATGTGTATGGCCTCAGGAATGAAACCAAAGTTCTTACTCGATTACTTTTATCTTCAGTTGAATTCGAGTTTATACAAATTTAAAGTAAAAATTGTTTAGCAAAACAAAAACAATTTGTATTTATATGTGTTCTTAGCATTTCCAAGCATTCGTTTCTTTATATGCTTTATTTAGTGATGCTGTGATGTAATAATTGGATATTCGTTCAAGGTTAACAATTATCATCAGTTTTTACTCAATTCATTTTTGAATTATCAGCTTTTGAGAGGAAATATATAATGGGATAATCAATATTATTTTAAACTTAAAATTATCGAATCGTTCAAGATCATCATAAGATGATTACTCTCCAATTCACAGCCCACTTGAACTTGATTGTTCAATTGTATTTTTTTTTATTACACATTTTGAAATCTGGACGTCAACAAACTTATCGTTCACTCGATACGAATTACGTAACAAAATTTCGTTTAAAAAAAAAACTGACGTATTTCTAAGTTTGTTATTCGTCGATTTTCGTTTGGAAAACTTTCCGTACGTTTTTTTTTGTTGTTGTTGTTAGCTAAATGCATGCTTCTACTTGTTCACTGACGCGACAACGCAATCTGTTAAATGGAATTGAATGCTAATGCCGACCAACAATTTCTAAATTCACACGTCCCACTAATCACGTAACTTCACTACATTTCGCTTTATAACACAGAATTTCAGTGTAACTATTTAGAATTTCGTAGTGCGGTTCATTATTATCTAACTTTAATGTCTCGATTATTTTAATAATGAATTTATACGTGTATTTAATTGAACGAGCGATAATTACGTTATTTAACGTTTGCTTGGTTTAATTACACTATTACGAAAGATAATGAATTAAAAAAAAACCTATGTTTATATGACAAATAACATACGTTTTAATGATTCAAGCGCAGTTGAGTTGAGTTTTTGGAAATGTAAGATGACAATTAGATAAATTTATGAAGTATTTAATTCCAGTCATTTACTGTAAATTATATACTTTATACAAAGGAACTGTGGGCGTTACAAGATCATTAGATTCAGGTATCTCCGGTCTACACTCTCGAGTTTTGAGTTATTTTGATTATAAAACCTGTTTTTACGTTTGTTATTACAGCTGTTATCGTATGTTTATTATGTACTTTTCTTTATAATATAATGTATTTTTGTAATTTCTCGTTGATTTGTTTTGTAATTATTAAAGCTTTGAAGTGAAATATGAGATTCTCTCTAGTTGATCAATATATTTATTTCCATCAATAGATTATTATGTAACTGTAATCCCGTGTATCCCATTACTACATTTATATTAAATACACATAAATATACATACATTTTTCAAAACATTGCAGTTAAAATAATTCAATTTTCATTGTAAAGTAAACTTAAATCATTGTAAATTAATCTCTTTTTTACTAGTTTTTGTTTTATTTAAAAAAATGTTTGAATGAAAATGATTCACTCTGTTAAAATAAGTATATTGAAATAAAGGTGAAAATATGAGTTTATTAGAAGCGTTTCCACTTTTTCATACAAAAGTTATCTGTTATTGTCTTGATGAAGAGTGGTTTTTCTTGTTTTGCTTTTCTACTCCGGTCGAAATTAATGAACCGCGTTTATCCGTTGGTAACACGGAACCTCATTTCTCTTAACTTAACGATCATAGAAACATCTCTGACGAGAGAGTTACAACTTTTTTTCATCAATAAATCTATCAAGAATTATAGCTTTCTTTCTCTTTTAGTAAATTATACATTCCTTATAGTACTTATAATCTGTTTAATCGATTTCTATTTTAATCTTTAAGTGTATCCAAATTATTTTAATGTATACATTGCAATTAGTTGTAGTAAACCGAAATAGTACATACTTTATATAATCGAATTAGTTAATTAGTTAGAATTCAGCTAATCCAGATGTCTTTTAGTCATTTCATTATTTAATAACATACCTGTGTAATAAACAGCGAATAAAAAACGTGACTGGAAACTGAAAACATTCATGAAAACAATAATCAACGTTGTTGTATTTGCAGAATTCTCACTAAATATGTTCAAAGTTCATATCAGCTACACATACATTTTGTATTTCAACTATTTGTTAGCAATGCATATTGATTACGAATGAAACGTACAGCACAGAAAATTAGTCGTGCACGTTTCATACGTAATTTGATATTTTTTTTAAACTGTGCGTTGAATTTATGTTTTTTTTCTCCACAGAAACATAAATTTCTCAATATCTATGTTGTTATAAGGTCAATTATATTGATGATATTAATATGCAAGATGTAAACCGACAAGTAAAATTAATGGTAATTTCATATTAAGTCTATACATGTTCAATACAAAAGTAAAAGAATGAGCTGTTATTACGTTACAACAACAAAAACAAAAAAAAGCAATTGCTTACACGAAATGATTGTATAATGTGAAGCATTTTCAGTATTTGCTGACTAACTTGGGGAAAACCGCCAAGAGGGATCGTGTTTCCGGTGTGTGAAAACGAAATGCAATCAATAGAGTTTCCCTTTAAGAAAAGAGGGAGGAATAAAAAAAAAATTGGACGGGGGGTGCATAATTAAGTTCGCTATTAGTACTTTCTTTCCACCGATAACACGAAGCAGCGGCGACACCTCGTTTTTCAACCAATTTTACCCGTTTTTCGACGCCGAATTCGCGAAAACTCTCATTAATTAAAATGTTGCGTGCATCAACATCCGCAACCCCTATAGCTCTCATCTCTCTTGCGCGCTTCGGTCTTCTTATTTTTAATTAAACCCTGCTGGAACAGTATCGTATGTAATTATTCTGGCTGATGAATGGGACGGAGATGAGAGAAGGAGATGCGACTGGTAGGAAGGAAGGAAGAGGACGGGGGTGTCGTGTATTCGCGAGGCTCGAAAAAATAAAAAACACGAAAAGAAGTATATTTGTTTCTTTACGGTCTCGCCACAATTTCGCACTGTCACGTCGATTTCTTCCTTCCGCTCTAAAATGGTACGTGGCGGAAAAAGAAAAGGGGGCCGTGCAAAATGCTTCCAACGCCGCCCAATTTATGACCGAAGGCGAAGGATATTTACACTATTTTCAGGGGGGCGAGGGATCCCGTTTTCCAACACAGAACCCTCACCAAAACCCCTCCGGGAATCTCCCCACGTTCGCAACGTGAGCGCGCGTTACGTTCCTCATTTAATCAAAACCCCCCACGCCTGATACGCAAATTGTTTATTAAAATGTTTATTATTATTCTGCGGGGTTGGTGAATTGTTTAGGCGCGATTTTCAGATTAAATCCCATTGCTGTGACACACGTATGACGCAAGAGCAAACGATATTCATATTTTTTTTCCTCTCTGAATTTTATCCTCAAACAGAAACTTTAGCAATCCACTAGTTAAAGTTTCCTTTGTGTAATATTTATAATCTGATATTTAAACAAATACTTATAATTTTGCATAATTTATGAATTTCGAACAATTACTTAAGAAATTCAAAATTTATTTTTATAAAGTATTTTTTTTAATTTTTAACTTCTTTATAAATTTAAATAATCTCATTTGCTTAGATTGAATAAATACTTTTCCTAAACTTCATTTCTGGTCTTCAAATAAATTTCTTAATAGATATGGTGTAGATTCTTCGTTAACTACTACAAAATGCTGAGTTGTCATGCTTAATCGAACGTTTGGAAGTTGTCCAAGAAGCAGTTGAAATGTATCTCTTTTCTTTCTGATCTTAGTTGATAAGTCTTTAACTACTCCATACTCCCATGTTTGCGACAAAATCCATAATTTTGACTATGCCACTAAAAATATATATCTTCTACAAATAATAATTGGAAAATGTACAGAAAAGTAGTTATCTAGTATTTCTTCTCTTTCATCTTCTAGATAAGACTTTACATACACTTAACTCATGTTACTATTAAAGGCAAAATTTTGTGTCTACAAGAAGCATTTTTAAGAAATTTTCATAACATTGACTTTTTTGAAATTACATATATTTATTTTGTTCTTTTTATTTCTGTATATGTTTTTTTGTACAACTGATGCAATAAATATTATTATTATTTCATAACATTAGGATAATGATTGTAAAATGTCTAATAAGCATCTATTATATCCTAGATAAGTCATCCTATTCACTACCCATGTTAACTATTAAAGCTAAAATGTTGAGTCTACAAGAAGCATTTTCAAGAATTTTCAGTAGAATTAGCAATAAAAATGTTAAAAAATCTAAAGGTTTTCATAACTTTAAGATAATGATTAGAATATTTATCTTATTTTAGTTATTACATAAGTCTAATATTGTAGATGTGTAGACTTATCTAACCAAACTAAATATTAGATTTTAATTAGATTTTTTTTATATTTAAATAGAATGAAAATAAAAGCAATTACAGGTTTGAGTTGATTGTAATTATTTGCATATTATTATTTATTGAATTGATGCATCGATTGATTTATTATAAACATGTAATTTTAACTTCTTTTCACTCTTCACTTGAGTTTTGAGAAGAGGAAAAGTGTAAAACATATAAGTGAAATGTTTGTTTTCAAAACACGACACACCACTTGTATTTGCCATCTGCAGTACGTAAACAGACAGTCTCGAGTTAAAGGGGACGAGCAGTTGAAATCTAGTACATCCATCGCATTGATCTTTTACTAAACTTTATGTAACAATTTAAACGCCATAGCGACGTTTTTGACACTAACGACTTTTGTTTTTCTTTTGCAGAGGACCATTTAGTGTAGTCAAAAGATGTGTCCATCGGCAGACCGGTCAACAGTTTGCCGTCAAGATCGTCGACGTGGCAAAGTTCACCTCCAGTCCTGGATTAAGCACAGAAGGTAAATCAATATTCACTTAAATAACAACAATTTACTAACTTGACAGTTAAGGTTATTTGACATTTTCTAAAGTAAAAATATTTCTGTTTGAATAATATTTATTATACTTGTACTTTATAAAATGTATGACATAAATTTGTAATTATAACAAAAAATGAACCTCAATCTTTAGAGTACATTAACTTTGATAACTTATGATAATAGTTAAGCAATGAATGCCTTGGATGGATGTCAATTTTTGTTGACGTTGTATTGAAAATTATTCACATTTTGTTTGTTTTCAGATTATAAAGTAGCTTGTAAAAGCATTATATTATACTGAATGTCGCGTTGGAATTAATAAGTAAACTTTTTCAATTGATTACTATGCATGTTACCGTGTTAACGCCTTACTACATAATGTTCCATGAAAATATACCGGAAATCACGGCTTACACGTTAAACCCAAGGTTACAGCGTTTTCAAATGCACCAATATTGCTGTAAAACAAGTGCAACCAACGTACATGTTTCGAAGTTTTGATCCAAGACTGTTTACATGCCGGAATACAAAACTAATCTTTTGCGAAAACCATTTAAATACACTTTAACTAAACTAAAGTGCTTTTGATCCGTCGCCACGTTGAATTCAATACATAAAATTAATCAATAAACTGTGTGAACTGCGCTTTTCAGTTTCGATCTGAAATTCCCTTGAAACCGTAATTGCCGATGTGAATTAAACCAATTTCGTAAATATAATTCCAATGTTATCCAGTGTTTGCTTAGGCTTAATCTTTCGGTTGTCGGGTTATCGCCTCGCTGCAGGTTATTCTATATACGATTCACTCGGATTAAAAGATAACGCATCGCGGAAGGTCTTGCTAATTGTTTGCTAATCCGTCGCAAAAACAAGACTAAATCGTTCATTGCTTGTTATCTAATATATATTCTTTTTATTATTCAATTTATTCCACTGTTATTCAAGTATTTGATTGTTATTAATTAACTTTCAATTGCAACTTATAGATAAGTTATATATAGATGAAAGTAGTTTATATTGTTAGATTCGATCAATTGGAGGAAGTAATGCGAACTATGGTATTTACAACCAACGAGAGACTAGTACAATGACAAAAGAAACGTCGGCGAATCGGAAAATGTTCATTGAATTGAGCGCCTCGTGCAATAATTAATTGGCGGTTTATTTAATTCCATTATATCGGATAATTGGAGGCATTAAATTATTTTGAATGGAAATGCGATAATTTCATTTTCATTCATCAGTTTTATTTCCACTATTTCTCTGATGGCGTTTTCACGGTTTATTGATGTTCTCTTCCGATGGATGTATATAGAGTTTTTTTTTTAATGCAGCAAATTTTAATTTACACAAACTTCAGTTCGGACTTGGTTGTAATTGTTATATTTTGCTCGCTTCTTTTCATTCATTGCATTTTACTTTGAAATTTCAATTCATCGCAGTTTCCATTGTTATTAATTGGATTGTGTTTCGTTTCCTTCTGTGTGCATGGTTAAGACTTGTTAGTTAAACTAAACATCTCCGCTTTAGTCGAGTGCCACGGTTGGATTACAAGTGAAATACATGAAAACTTCTCGAGTTAAGAACAAACTACTGAAATTAGAGAGAAAGAAACGGGCAAACTCTTTAGGAGGGGACAAATAATCAATACAAACAAACGAAATATTTCTCAAAGCATTTTGCACGTCTGAATAAAGAAACGAAATAATACAAGTTGACAATATATTTCTTAAATTATTCTTTAAATTTTTTGTAATTTATTTGTAATTCATTAAAATATGTTTTATATAACAATAATATAAATCAAGAATGTATTTGATCCATTAAACCTTCAGTCACAACTTGCTTAAGTTGCATAAGTTATAAAACTTCTTGTATAGACACCAATTTATCCTCTGTGTTATTATAAGAAAATTGTACTTTTTTTTTGGATAATCAAGGTGTAATATATTTTTTTATGTTATATAAGCGAAGGACTATTGCATTTTCTACGAAATTGTCTTGTAGTCATTATATAAAAACTGTAATTACAAAATGGAACATTTCTAATTTATAAAATTATTACTTTATTAACTACATTATTACGTAATATAACATCAAAGCATTTATTCTTTCAAAGTAAATGGTAAATATATTATTTAGGAAACTATTGATGATCCAATAGATGACATAGTTTAGTCAAATATATGTGACAAGGTTTCGGAAAGAATATCGTTTCTCGGGGTAAAAATCCAACTTGAAATCCAATTTCCCGAAAGCTCAAGAGCCTTGCGATATCCGTTCATTTTAAGGTCAAAACATCCTATTGTGTTTTCAATTTT